GGTGTCATGACTGCAGGTGTTTTGAACTGCACACTAACGGGCACATCTAATCTGGGGCAGGTGTCCATTTAGGGAAAGGAAATAGACTGGGTGTGTCCTTTTTTTTCTACCTCCAATTTGAGTGATTCCACACTTTTTTCCTCAGAATTGAGTGATTCCACACTTTTTTCCTCAGAATTGAGTGATTCCATATTTATTTCCCTGTGTTTGGTCAATAAAAGTATCATTCACTGACTTCCACAATATTTTCTCTTCATTTCTTTGAGTGTTCCTGAAAGCCAACGAGTTGCACTTTGGAACGACCTTAATATTGTATCATGTTTTTGATCTGAGTTTGTTTTACAGCATGAAATGTCTGAATGAGTGCTCATCCAAGACTGGTGATTCCATACTTTTTGCCAGGGGTTGTAATTGCACATTTGTCCTGCTTTTCTGTCTAAAAAAACATATGCTATCATACTGTAACTGATAGAAATAGATCTGCATCATCATTTAGGAGTAAAATGATTTCACATTAGTTTTGTGTCAGTCATATGAAAAAAGCTATTAGAAAAAAATATCTTTTTTGAATAGAAAAAAAAAATTCATTAAATTGAACAAAAGGGAGTATGTCTTATCTTTCTATTCTAAAACAATTGTTAACCACTTACTTTGCATCAATGGGGCCCCATACAAGAATTCATTCATTCATTCTTTCATTCATTTTTGTTCACTAAAAGGGTTTGGTTGTTCCTGGTGAAAAACGACAAAGGAAAGAGAATGGGCTTGTTCAATTGCTCAGTCACAAAACTCTGATCCCTGTGAGCGCTCTGCTTGCTAGGCTTGTGTTAGTAAAGTGCGCGTATGTTGCTGTCGATCACAGCTAAGACCATTTCTTGGCCTAGCATAATCAAATGTATTCAATCATCTAAAAAGCCTCCAAGGCAGCTGGACTGCTGCAGAAATCAAATTACACACAGGTGAAATATTTACAAACTAGACTACTGTACTTATGAAAGTGTTTGTTTCTGCTGGATTTCATTCAGGAGTCTTGTGTTACTTTGTTCTTTCTCTTTAGTGTGTGAATATATATATTTTTTGAGCATATATGATGGGGAATTTTAGGCTGATCGTCACGAGTCACTTTAAGATGAAGGTTTAATTGAGGCTGACAAGCATGTTTTCAGTTTAAGTATTGTTAAATCTACCCTCTACTTTTTACCCTGACTAAAATTTACTCCAACAGATTTTTTTTTTATTAATTAAAAAAATAAAGGTTGTTCAAATGAACAATTACCACATAAGTCTTGACATATTTAGGAATGTAAACATGTCAAAGTTCTCAAAAAGCAAAATACCTTCTCACTGGCCACAGCAGAGGGATCTAACCTTTGTTCAGTCTGAGATGAGATGATGCAGCCGGCGACATTGTCTGATTTGGTCCCTCCAGGTTCCTGTCATTTTGATCATCCTGTCCACTTACTGAGTCGCTGACGCAGAATGACAGCTGGACATTTTAAAGCCTCCACCTGATGCAGACCACATCTTTGAAGCCAGAAGGAGAGCAAGAACACATCTTTAGAAGTTTGCTATTAGAGATCCTTGATCAGCTAAAGAGTCGACATTGGAGTACCGTAATAATAGAGAAAAGAATGAAGGGATGAATGAAGGACCAGTTGCAGGGCAGACAATTGACCATAAACTAGGAGTGAGGGACACCCGAGCAGTGGGAAAGACTGACTAAAGCATGCAGAAAATTACCTAATCTTCTGCCCATCCAAAACACATGAAGCGATATATAGATTTGAAGGATATACTAAATGTTTAACTAGATTACCAGATGCTGTATTATACTGAGATAAACACATGCATTGTCCATCTATTATGGCTTATCAAAGAATAGGTAATGGGTCCAAAAAGAAAAAACACCCATTTTAGTTGCTTTTTAAGTTGTATTTGTCAGCCTGTGCAGATTTACATTCACGCAGGTCATGGCAACACAAAGAAGGCCTAAATCTGACAACATTTTCAATACGTGTCCAAGTAATTTCAGAAAAGTCCAGTTGCTGATTTAAGCCCATTTTAAACAATGCAATTATTTTACATCCCAGTAGTATGCAGTTCTTCATATATACACACACACACATCAATTTCAAACAGATGGTATTGGTATGATATTGGTATCGGCTGATACTGCACAGCCATGTATCAGGGCCAAAAAATGGTATTGGTGCAACACGAAAAATTCATTAAGATCATTCCAATTTTCGATTGCCAAATATGAAACTGAAATTGCATGTTGTTGGCTTTAAAGCACTGCCTTTTAGCTGTATTTTTTGTTTTAGTTAAGAGTGTTTCTATGCAAAAATTATCTAATCATATAAACCAATGCGGCTAAAAATAAGTACAGAAATTCAAGATGATAGGAATTGCTTAAAACAGAAGCTACTCAGAAAATGTCTTTTTGTTGTTGTTTTTATTATTATCATAAGGGCTGGGTATTTTGGCCAAAGTCCTGAATTGATTTGAGTTTAATTCATACAGATCTAAATCGATTTATTTCGATTCGATCTGTTTTTACAATAATTAAAGTGGTTCAACTGTGTTTCAAAATACTCATGTATTTTATTATTTTCCTCCAAATTAAACACAAAGTGCAAACTTGTAAATCAGACAGTTTAAAGTTAAGATGTGCACAAAACTGTCTCAACAGTGCAAACTTGTTTGTGAAAGTGAAAAAGTGAAGCCTCACAAGAGTAAGCAGACGTGACACCGCGGGTACACAGCAGACATGCATGAGCTGTTCTATCTCTACTGTACAAACCATGATTGCAGCATTTACTGCAACAACTACAGGGTGTTTGCTGGTCAGCCCCATTTGTGTTACTTGCGGTGTGTTACTTGAGTCAGCATTTGCACACGCCTGCTCATTTGAATGTAAACATCACACGCGTCACTGTAAAACTAATCGATCTAATTTCCTTCACATCGATTTTGCAAAAATGTAAAGGAATCGATCGATTAAACTGATTTTTTACCCAGCCCTAATTATCATTAACACATTCATGTTGCATGGAGAATTGTACTTGGAGTCAACAGCGGTTCCAGACCAAATTTATTACGGTGGCCTAAGGCTGAGTCATTTTCAAATCTTGAAACCCCAGATATGGCAAATTAGAAATGTGATCCTGTTTCAATATGGCGACAAAGAGATAAAAGTTCAAAAGCTTCATAAAAAAAAAACCAAATACAAAAACAAACTAAAAATAACTGTAAAAGTAAAAAAATAATTAAAAAATAAAAAAAATAGATCCAAGGGACCAATTAGCTCCGATTTCATGCCAGAACATCTAAAATGCATTTAGCACTAAATCTTCAGTAGAGGCACCAGTACTGTCTTAAAGGGCTACTGGCCCCTGTTTAGAACCGCCCATGCTTGGAATCCTAAATTCAGATTTTATCACTAAAGAGCTCCACCATTCTCTTCCAGTTTCACCAGAATGCATGACTAAACTTTAACATTCTAAATGAAATGCACGCTCCTATATTTTTGTTTCTATTCTTAGAATAAATATAAAATAGTGAGAGATAAATATTGACAGAAACTGTTTAAGCAAGGGCTCCTTAACTCCAGTTCTCGAGAGCAAATATGTTACAGTAACTTGCAGACGCACACCTGAATTAAATGAAGAGCTCATTATGGGCTCTGCAGAAACACCACAGGTAGAAAACCTCAGTACAGTGCCTTGTGATGAATTCTCGTGAAAGCAGATAAAATATATATTATTTATTTGAAAACTAAACAGTTTTCCCTGCATTTATTCTGTAAATCCCGACATAAAAAAAAAAATCCACATATTAGTAACCAGTAAATAACTGAATAATTCTCAAAGCTTACTGCATATCTCGTTCTATATGTTAAAAAATAAAAGTTTTCATTCATAATGTGCAACAATATTTCATTAGGTACAGTACAGAGTTATATTCGCATACCTAATGCTGAAACATCTGAGGCTTGAATAAATGATGCTGCAGCAGGAGCTGGTAACAAACCCCATCTGTTGACTCCCACACATTCCTGAGCAGAGGACTAATCAAGCAGACTCAGCCAAACACCTGCGCTTGAGGACGTCTGCAAGCTAAACGAGAAGGAAAACTAACAACATGGCGCCACCCTGTGACAGTATGTAGTCATTGCACAAAAAATCACCTAGAATAAAAAAAAATAAAATGTCTGTTTAGCGCAAGTAAATAAATGTAAAAAATTCTATTCATATATATATATATATATATATATACATGAATAGAAAGTTTTTAAAGTTTGTTTTTTTTCCAGTTTAAAGCTAATATTCAGAGTTTGGTTTGTTTCACTGACCGTTAAAGTGAGATGAAATATGATGCTTTTGCTTGATCTGTTTTGGGACAAAAAAAAAGAACATTTAACCCTTAATAGAGCAAGTAACTGTTTTTGATAACTAATATAATAAGTGGAGTCCCCCTGTCCCTCAGTGAGGTCTAGAACCACAAGATCTATATCCAGCCATTCAGCAAAGATACTGCTACATGGCTACATACTTTAATGTGCTATGGACCAATCAGATGACCCCTTGAATGATTTATTACCTACAGTAAATTAAATTGAAAAAAGTTAGGAAAAAAAAGGTGAAAGGCTAAGCAAAAAACTTAAAAAGATAAAAAGTAGAGTTAAAAATTGAATAACAAAAGCTCTTTTGGCTTGAAATGTTTTTTTTTTTTTTTTTTTTTACAAAATATTTCACCGAGTGCCCTTTAAAAGGTTAAAGATTATTATTAGTAAATTAGAAAATACTTTAGATTTGGAGGACATTGAAAGTAATATTCCTTGGCCTGGTTTATTGCTGTTCTTCTCTTTAAAAACCAAACATGTCATGTGTGTGATCTTTTTTTATTATTTTCCTTTTAAAGTAAATGCACAGAAGAGCTTAGCTTTATTTTGTACTGATATTTAATATTTAGACATGGGGCAATAGCCATTTTTACAGCACATTTTGCATAATTTATCATTACCTCCTGTATACAATCACAAAACCATGACATTTTATTTTTTTCTGTTTACTTACAAGTGAAAAAAACAGACAAGTTTTACAAGCATAATCTTTGTACAGTCAGCATACATTTTTCAATAATTTGTACTTCTCCATTACTTCCTCCTCCACTATCACATATACCACTCTATAACTCCTTTCTCAGTTTAGTAATAATATCTGGACACAAAAATATTAGGAACCACCAACAGAACATGCAACATCCAGTGAGCATATTTATATTCTTCTGCAACTAACTCGAGTCGTCACAATAAGACTTCTGTGTTAAGACTGGTAACCTTTTAGTGTCCTGTGTGAAGGGCTTGGTTAATCCGGGCCTCTATAACCAGACAAAACATCCTTTATACAGTCTATCCACTGCACACTGATTGAAAAAAAAAATACATTTCTCCTTGTTATGTCTGCTAAAACTTCTTTTACTCCTCAATCCCAATTATGGATATATTTGTAGGTATATATCTATAAAAATTAAACTATATATTTACACTGCTAAAAACAGGGAGATAGCCTCTGTGTTTAAATCTGTTAGTGAAATGTGGAATTGTGTTACAGTCGGTTTTTGAGTGAAAACACTAAAAAGCAGAATACTTTTTGCATCAGGCCAAATGACATGCTACACACAAGCACATGAAGATCAAATTAAGAAAAAATGATGAAAAACAAAACCAAACTTACAGAGAGAGACCTTAAAACTACTGCCACTTCCAGTGCAATGTCTATTAATTACAATCTTTTACAGTCTTTTGGTAATTTATGATATGCATCCTGTAAATCAAGATAATCAAAGGGTAGGTGCAGACACTGGATGTATTCTTTCTTTTTTGACTTTGATTTCTCCACATAACGTAATATCTCTGAGTTTCAGGTCATCCTGATATTGTAAACAACCTCTACGTTGTGTAAAAAAACATTATTATGTACATTTCATATGTACTGTAAACCAATGCAGTAGAACTCAATATGACACTCTCTCACAGGCAATAAATAAATACACATCTGTACAGCATTACAAAAATCACAAGGTAAAAATAAAATAAAAGTAAAGTAGAAACCATTTGTGGAGGATGCAGCAGTGCAAATTGGGACATAGTGACTTACTGGCAAGGTTGTATGCAGTTCCTTCACTCTTTATGGTAGATGTTGCATAGAAATCACTAATATGTTAGTTTTACTATTTGTTTCAGCTGATGGTATTGAATAAACCTGTAAAACTACCTCTTGACAACCACAAACCAAAACTATCTTAAAGTGTAATGATATAGAAGACTTTAAAGATAACAATGTGGAGTTTAACTCTCAAAATGACAGCACATCAAAGCAGCAATATTACAGCAGTAAACTTAGGATGTTAATAGTGCTTTTACTTGTATTATTGTACCTCAAATCTGCCTCAGCATTTTCACAGTTAAAACCAATCCATTTCTACATTCTGAGCAGAAAAAAAGTGCAAAATACCACAAAAGTATGTTTTTAAGACTGCTGGCCATAAAACTGAAGCAAGCCCAATGTAGAAGACTGATATGATGCAGGAATATAGTATTTGCTCTCCTACAGAACTCTTCTGTTTTTGCTTTTCTTTGCAAATAGATGCTTCAGATCATCAAACATCATAAGACAGTAAACCAATAAAGTGAAAAGTATAATTTTCCAATACTGATTTGAATTACTGACCACTGTCATATGTGTAGAATATGTGTAGGACATGTCTGACAGCATGACATACAGAGGCGATTGATACCCAGGAGAAAACCTAAAACGTCATCTGAGGCATTAGTCATGTGTTCATGATTGACCCACTAACAATCGGCAAAAATGGCGTTTATAACAGAGTTCAGACACTAGAATCATTGGTGACCAGAATAAAACAAATGATCCCAAATATTTCTTGGAAAATCTCATATGACTAACAAGAAAAAAAATACATATTACACCATCTGTCATAGTGTGGATAATTTTTTCTCTTTATTTAATGACCTACTGTGATTTTTATTCTGCCCTTTACTAGAAAACCCTGAAAGCGATTGTCCGGCCATCAGTTTATTACCTTAAAGGTATAGTGAAGGATGTTCTTTTTCCGGGTGGATCATCAAAATAAGTGGTGATATGTTTACCTAAGGCCGTCCTACGAGCTCGTCCCCATCTCCTCTTACCCGTGGTGAGTCTGACAGTGGGAAAATTGCAAATCTTTTGGAAAGTAAGCTTACATGAGTGATGCAAACAGCAACTTTTAAATAGAGCGTGCACGAGGAGAAATGGGCTTGTGCATGCTCTCGCAAATTTAATAGGGGTTCCCTTTCGGGAGCAGGTACGGGGTTGTGCATGTGCATTTTTTTTTTTTAGTGGAGAGGGTGGGTCTTTTCAAAAAATCGTGATAATCATCCACTATACCTTTAAGTTCAAGATGAAACTAGAAAATATAGCATTAGCTTCATCTTTACATGACATGAAAAGAAGTTTCAGGCCCCCTATAGTATGCAATGTGTGGCTTTGAGGTCACATGCCCTTCCTTTAGCTAAATCTTCCTAAATATCCATACTGCATTTAGCTTCTTTTAGAAGGTTAGATTTTATGAAGTTTGATTTCAAAATAGTTTCAAGTCATGAAACATTTAAGTCTGACAAAAAAGCAAAAACAGAAGAAATGTGTGGACAACTAATGCATTTCCCAGCACTTTAAGATTCATAACATGTCTGGAACTTACAAAGCAAAAACAGGAAATCTCAGTGTGGTCTATGTCGTACATTCTACAGGGGGATCATGGATAAATAAAACCTTTATGTCACAATAGTCAAGACTTGATTGTCTGTGATAAAGTATCTATTTATTTTTATCTCCAAATAAGACTTTCTATTTACAAAGTGGGTCTCAGAGGTGATGTTTAGTGGTGAAACATGAAGTGCTGCATGCTGAATAGACTCATGTGCACAATATATTGTGTGGTATTCAATTTTGTATAAGTCTGAGTTAATTCTTAAACAATTTCAGTGATATATTATCTTAAAAAGGAGGCAAAGTTCAGTAGTTCATTAATTTATAAAATTTATAACAAGCTTTTTTCTTCAATGATCTGGTCTGCTACTGTAGATAGGTAGTGTGTTGGAAAATATGCTTCCTTCCAAACAAGGATTTTTAAAATATCTGATAAATAACTGAGATAAATAATAGACTTCTATGCTAATATAATAGAAAAATAAATTATATGTTTCTGTGGCAGATCTTTCTCTGTCATTTCTATAATGTTTTAAATTTAATAAAATTCTGAATTAAGCAATAAGTGCTGAAATAGAATCATCATTGGATAAAGCATTTAAATAAACTAACATCTAGAAATGTGTCTGTTCCCTGTATCTCTACATTAGAATTAAGGGTCTTCCTCTGTGGAAATGATCCTGTGCAAAGTAACCATGTGCATGAGTGTGTTTGTGAATGAAGGCATGTAATACCTGGTTGAGCTGCTGACCTCAACACCTGTGTGTTTGCGTCTCTTCCTGGATACATTATAATGGACCCTTCTTGCTGTAAACATGTTTATTTTCATGTAAACGTGAATCCAAGGTCTTTATGCTGACAGCATCTGAACAAAAAGTCCCCTAAGTCCAAAAAAACAGATAAGATGACGAGCTTTTGCCTCCTCTTGAGCTTGCGTCACCCTTCACCCAAACAGGACCAGTTTCTCAGATGCAGAGCTAAGTTCCCACTGAAGTCACAAACCCATCATATTTCTCTTTTCTTGTCCCCCTATGAGTGGATCTGAGCCGTGCTAGCCAGCAGCTTGTGCCAACTCACGACTCGTTTGCGTAAGTCGATTTTGTCCAACCACACATAGGCCTCTCCGATCAGCGTTTTCTTCATGAACTTTCCACCGTTTGACACAAGGAAAAGCTGGTGAAAGAACCAAAGAAGAAATAGCTTTTACTTTCTGGAAAAGTCTGTAGTACACAAGTTGGTGAAGATTCTCAGTTATGCAGGTCATAGTCATTTCAAAAAAGTAAAAAAAACAATCCACTGGAATTTGTTTCCAAGTCTGAAGACGTTTCGCTTCCCATCCAGGAAGCTTTTTCAATTCGAAATGTCATAATTAGCGTTGAGTTTGAGGCTTTATAGAGTGAACAATAACAAGTATTGGGTATTGCAGGTTAACAAAGAACCCAAACGACCCCCATTCCTAAGGGAATTACCCATTCATCCAGTTCAATGTGCATGTTTTCTATGCTAAAACAAGACTTTTGTTTTAGCCCACTCTATAAAGCCTCGAACTCAATGCTAATTCTGACACTGTGAATTGAAAAAGCTTTATGGATGGGAAACAAAACGTCTTCAAACCTGGAAACAAAGTCCAATGGATTGCTTTTTTTTTTTACTTTTTTGGAATGCAGTTCACAAGCTTTGTAAAAGTTTTTCTGTTGTTGTTTTTTTTTTGCTAAGCTTTGCTTTTAATATGAGCAGCAAATTTCTATTTTTAGCTTTTCCACAAAAAACTTCCACAAAAGTGACAGACTTAACATAGTGTATGTTGTGAAGAAAAAAATTGAAACAATAGGGTTAATGGCGAATCAACTTCCCTTAACTTTCAGTAATCATAACCACTATGCTGTTGGAATGCAAAGAAAAAGATATGTTGTTTTATTACTCATGGAAAACATGTAGCTATGATGAACATACAAAATGTTATCAACAGATTGAAGATATCTGTAAATCCTATGTAAGTAAAGATATCAGCCACCTGTAATGAGTGTCCTGTTGGGTTCATACAGAAACGGAACGTTTCGTTGAACGATGGCTCACGGTCATGACGGCACACTCTCGTCTTCTTCTTGATGATCCTTTTTTGAGTGGCAATGTTCACCACATAGAGCTTCACATAAAGGTCTGAGAAGAAGAGACAGACATTGTCATCAAACACCACAATGTTATTAGTGGGTTCCCTACTTTGAAAAGTGGTGAAACAAGAGACCAGAACAATTAGGAATAAGTCAAGGGACCAGCAGATACCCAAGACAATCAGATGTTTGCATTTATACATGCATGACTATATTAGAAGGTGTTTTATTTTTTGTTTTTTTGTATACCTGGTAGGTGGTCTGGAGACTTAAACTTGTAGGTGATGTTGCGACACTGAAGAATCTCCAGAACCAGCTGCTCCCCCTCCGTTCTCATCTCCCTCTTCAGAGCGATCTTGATCTCTCCCATTACTTGAGTCTTTCCTAGAAACACATGCAGATAATGAGATCAGCAATATAGTGCTAGGTTATATTAGGTGCTAGGTTCTATTGCAGAGGCCTCAATTCTTAGAATCCCTATGCTGCCATCTTGTGGAAAAAAATATTCATAACAGGAAGCATACAGTAGCAGCCATTCTAAAAGGCCCTTCCCAGCCAAATGGCAGGCGAATGGCAGCCCACTTTCCTGGAACTCCCAGCAAAATCCCCTCCAACTTCCAGCCACTGACCCCCTCCTTCTACTGAGTGTACATAGCTTTTTGCTCTGACTCCAACCTTTCACTGAATTACAGGCTCAGACTAGGAGGCTTCTCTTTAGATCTTAATGGCCACAAATCATGACAAAAAGAATATTTTAGAACAAATATTGATGCTTAAAAAGGAATTGTTGTGGACCAGCCAAGGACCAGCTAAGGGCCCATCAAGGAAAGAGGGGAAATGTTGAATGACTATTACAAAGTCATCTTTTTTTTTTGCTTACATCAAAAAAATGTTTATACGTTGACACATGGATAATAATTTGATAATGCATGCATCATTATTTAACAATAAGACACAGAGACTGGGCAAAAATAGCCTCAGAGAGAGTTCACAGGCCAACACTTCTATCTAGAAAGAACATAGGTGCTCATCTTACATTTCCCCCCTAAAAGATACATTTTGAAAACCATTATTTAACACTGGTCGCCATTTATGAATGAAATTCAGTCTGGTTAAATACATCCAATATAAATGTTTGACCGGAAATATTTATGTGCCAAATAAAGTAAGCAGAATTAATCTTTAACTGTGGCAAACAACACAACACTGTGGCTTTTAGTGCAATCAACTACTTTACAAAAACGTAGGTACAAAAAAAGATAATGGGATTTCAATCAAAGCAGTGAAAACTGAGTACATGGATAGTTGTGAGCTCACAGTGAAAACAAAAGAGCATCGACTAGTTAAAAGACTGATTATATTTCTTGTCACACAAAGTTTTTCAAAAATAGATATTCAACCAGCTGTAATATAGAAATGTGTATATTTGTTTGCGGTAAATTTTTATAATAAGAAATCAACACGTATCCAACCTTCACCATCACTGTGTCCCGTTGATGATTTGACCACATCAGTGCCGTTTGGGATCTTCCCACTAAAATGTAAAGACAAAAAGAAAAGGAAATGGTTTATTGGTTTGCACGTACTAAAAGATGGTTTATAAACCAATCTAACATAAACAGAGTCTAGAACAAGTGAAAGGAAGATATTGTTCACATTTCATTTCAAAAAAAGTTTAAGGTAATGACTTGATCTTTTCTGAAAAAATTACTTTATCTTACATATAGCATTATTTATTTATTTATTTAGAGTTTTTACAGCACTAGTGGCTCTTTTTTTTTTTTTTACAGTAGGCTGATAGGAAAGGGGGTATGAGAGAGGGGGAGAGACATGAGGTAAAGTATCACAGGTCGGATTCGAACCCGGGTTGGCCACGTCGAGCACTAAGGCCTCCGTATAGGGGTTCTGCATCACCAAAGCATGCCCATAAAACATTATTTTTATAAATAACTGTGTATTTCTAACTATCCTTTTGATGTGGGCGGTAATTTTAATAGAGGGGAGGCTCGATCAAAGGGTCCTAAATTCTGCTTTAAATGTGACAAATATATTTTATTTGCTACTTCATCTATTGGCATTGGTTATTCATTTGTCTTACAGTGCTTTAGCCTTTAATTTGTTAAAAGTTAGGGGAAAGCCTTTAGAAATGGTTACATAAACCTTTGCATCCACTTCTGGGGTGCTGACAATTTCTGGATAACATAATATTCTTAAAATAACTGGAAAATCTTCAGATAAGATCAGCATAATAATATTCTATTTTTTTTTTTATTATAAATAATGTCACAATTAATTAAGTTTGTGAAGTAAATGAATGACATACAGTTTCCCATTTGTTCCAACCTCTCAGAATTCATGGCTTAACAGATCATATCATCAGATTCAGTGTTTATGCAAACAAGCCGGTAAATCCAAACCTGATTAAAATTTGACAAAAATAACCAATTGAAACAAACAGTTTTAGTAATCACATGAACATACAGATGTTAACCATTAAGAATAGAAAAACTGTCATTGTGTTCAATGTATAGAATGAACTTCTATGACTCTGTTGTGGCATCAGCCATCTTCAATGGAGCTGTCTGTTGGAGCAGTGGCTTATATGTAGCTGAGAGAAAGCGGCTGGATAAGCTGATCAAGAAGGCCAGCTCTGTAATTGGATGCCCTCTGGACTCAGAGGTGGGAAACAAAAGGATCCTAACTACATTAACATCTCTGTTGGATAATGTTTCCCACCCCATGCATGAAGCTGTTGCTGAACAGGAGAGCTCCTTCAGTGACAGACTACTGCACCCTAAATGCACCAGGGAGCGTTACCACAGTTCCTTCCTCCCAGCAGCTGGAAGACTTTATAAGCACCACTTTTCCCAACAACCTCAATACATTGTTACATTCATGCTGATTTTGCACATTTTCTATCTTAGTCAGTTAAACATGCTGCTGTCATTTTGCACATCTCTGATGTTGCTGCTATTTTCAAATATCCATTACTGTAAAAAAAATGTTGGTTATTTATTCTTCAGGTTCACAGTTTTTATATTGTTAAAACACTTTACAGTGCAGTATTTCATTTGTTTATTTTTCAACTATTATTGATTTATTATTGATTATTATGTTTTTCTTATGGACTTTTCTAAGATCCACATTTGTGTGACCTTTTTTTCTACCAACTTTATGCTGCTGTAAACACCAGAATTTCCCCATTGTGGGACAATAAAGGGATTTTCTATTTTATTCTAAATAGGAAATCAAATTTGGCTCCCTACATGTAAGCATTTATAAACACATCATCCTGGATTAGCTTTGATACAGAGCAAGTTCTAATAAATTACACTTTATATATATACTATAGTTGTCTTATAGTAACTCTACTGATGGTTATAATACATAACTGTACTTTCATACAGGTAACAGACCCTTGATGAATGGAAGCAAATATTTTTTATGGTATTTTATTGGATGTTAGTCTACTTACAATCGAGGAACCTGGAAGATAGCACTGTCCACTTCATTTGTCTCCCCTTCTTCGTCCAAAAGGCTGTAAGCACTACCGCTCAGGCCACTGTCTAATGAGGCCGCAGTAACTGGGGCATCGCTGGATCTGTAGCTCGACCGAGCTGAGCACAAACATGAGCACAGCCATCCCCACAAAAAGGAAGGAAGAGAAAAACTGAATCTTTGCTATGTCCAAAGAAGAAGCATCGGTTGATTTCTGCAGCACTGTAAATCTGTTAAAATGGTCAATAATTTGTTATGCTGTGGAAAAAAAGAAGCTTGTTAAAGAATCACAAGACAGGACTGGACTGCACACAAACATTGAGCAAGAGCATGTGGATACAAGTTTAAATCTAAAGCCTCTCTCAGCAAAGACAAGACAGTGATAGCTTAAACACAAAAATACTGAATACATGATGATGCACACTACAAGAGAGGCACAACTACTTCATTGTTAATAATCTGTATGAAATATTGAATGTGTGAACATCTTAGCTGTGGGTGATAACAGTGGATTAAGTGCTGCAGAAAATAAATCTCCTTTTAAAGATTTACTCTGTTTTTTTGGAAAATAAGAGAAAGTCTAGGATCAGCTTTCAAATAATACTTTTATTGATAAAGGGTAAAGCGGCTGTCTAAACCAACTTGGCCCTATGAGAAAAGGTAATTACTCCACTTGTTAAAACATCAATTAACTCAATGCCTACATTCCTTGGATTCCTATTACACAAGCCACAACCTTGGGCAAAAATTTAATCCTTGGTCGAGTTCTGAAAGCAAAACACGTGTGAACATAAAGGACAAAAAGAGCCGTATCATGTTTGATCTCCACCCTAAAAAAAATCCCGGTTTATACCCCAAACTTTCTGCAGACTGTTTTATGAGCTGTACTACTTGCTGTAGTTGGTGGAACCACAAATGTTTTCTTTGTCAAAAAATCCTGAAGGAAAATATGTAAATGGGGAAGTACTGTATCTTTTTTTTTGTAACCAAACATAAAGAGAATATTTAGAACTGCCTTTGACTGTTAAAGTTATATTATTGACGGAGGTTTTATTAGCTTAAGTTTGTGGTCCAAGGGGTTTATTTGCTTTACTACCTGCTTTGATCATGTTTTTTATTTGTACTTGCTTTTAATTTGCTTTTTTTTGTTTATTTTATGTGAAGCACTCTGAATTGTGTTTGTACTAACTTTTACCATGAAAATAAAATTCCCTTGCCTTACATTGGGCCACTTGGTTCAGACAACTTTTTCCCATTAGCAACTAAACTTATCACTTGAAAACTGGTTTTCGTGTCTACTCTAGTAACTTTGTCTGAAAAAGCAAAAGCTTTTTCTGTAAAGGAAATCAATAAAGGAGAAAATCCTTATTCAATGTACCGGTAACCAATTATACTTCTATGTGCAGCATGGTTTAAACAATAAACCATGTTCTTTTTTATTCAAATAATTAAAATTATTGTTATTTTATTTTAAACTCTTTTATTTCTTTTCTCAGAAGTTGAGCAGGCAATGTGAGTGTAAATGATGCCAGATGTGTGGATGTGGAGCGGTGGTGAATCCGTGAGAGCACAGGCTTTCTTTTAAGCTACTGACTGATGACATCAATAAAATAAAATAAAATAAAATAAAATAAAATGAAGTAAAACCATGCCTTTAGCTTAAATTAAAGCATAGCACAATTTATATATGCATGGAGTATGTCAGTGGCCATGATGGAAGTGTGGCTGACTGCATGAATCTGGTGGTGTGGCTGTGAGTGCAACCTTGTTTTCTGTCTTTCTGGCTCACTCTTAGCTTATTAGACTCCCCTCTTTCTTTCTGCAGATGTGCGTTAGTAGTACTGCATCCTCTATTTCTCTCACTCGCTCTTTCTCTCCTTGCTCCATCATTGCTTCAGTCACACGACAGAGGAGGGGAAACTCTTGGGGCAAACTCTCACCTCCGATGCTCTGCGGCCTCTCCTCTGACATGGCTTTCCTGAGGCTCAGGAGTCTGCCGTCTGCTCTGCTCGCATTGGCCGTCATGGTTGATGGCAGGGCAGGCAGCCAGTCAGACTGGGCTCTCTGAATGGTGAGCACACCCACTACGCTGTGTCTCTGGTGCCTTAGCAAGAAGTGGCTTCTTTGTCCTGGGTGTGTTTGTGTTTTGCAGGGTCAACAGCAGGAAACAAAAGGTCATGGCACCGCAGTTCAAGATGTGAGAAGGAATGAGCAAGATGGAGATTCAGAGCGCAGTTCATCCTCATCATGGTAATCAGCTTGATTGAGAATCACATGCAGCCACAGTGTGCAGTGCACATTCACCCTTTCCCGTGTGTCTTCAATGAGAGGGGTGCTCAGCATCAGCTGGGTTGCATTGTGGGTCCATAAAGGGGGTGGTGTAAAAGCATGCACAGCCAACTCAGTGAGGGAGCTTCAAAAATGCTGGTCGCTGGATTCTTAAAGAAAAGTTTTTTT